GACAGAAACTGTAAAAATAATCAAGAAAATGTAACAAAAAAATAGATGCAAACAAGTACAAGAATGTAGCTCGCATTAGAAATGACAAACTTGACTCACTCATCCGTTGACGGACGAGGCAAGATTCTGAGACAGAAGTACATTAACAATTAATTACATCTCTTTGTCACTACCTCCTAATGTTTGTGGATAATTGATTAATTGCAAGCTTTGAAAATGTTTTAGTTCTTCAACGTTTTCTACAAACGGAAACCTCCCGTAAGTGTTCTTTGAAACTATTACTTCAAAAACAAATTATAAGCAAAGAATCAAAAAATAAGATAGCGGGAAAGGTACACAACCAAAGATGTCATAGGTTGTAATATGAAAACATATCTCCACTACTATATCTTCCGCATAAAAGCGAATCCAAGCAGTTAATCTACCCTTTTCAGGAGCTCCAGTTTCCCTCACCCAACCAAGAACAGTGAACAAAAGTGACCCCTTAATTATTCAATCAAGAACAGAAAAAAATTGAATTTAGAGGTAGTATCCGTAATGTTATCTATCGGTCGAGTTTCATTTCCATAATGAAAGGCATTTAATTTATTCACAAAGAAGACAGTACATAACAATAAATATCATTCAGAGATGAACTGCTGACTAGAATGGACTGTACTGAGATATTAAACTGTACCAAAAACCGATGACACAGTACTCGTCGAGGGATTGACGCTTCATTGCGAGCAAGCTAAGCAGCTAATAATTTACGCTCAACAATTACTGTAAGTAATTAATAAATGCATACTTGTTAAACCATACACATAATTTTCATAAAAACAAAGTACACAAATCAGCAATGTTTGTGTTTGTGAGGCAGATAGGCAGCGAAAAGTGTGTGGTGGCCATTGTGACGGTCCCTCAATGAGACACAGTCAGCCATAAATCACACTCACATTTTATCCCAAAGGAAGCACAAATTCGCTTGCAAAAGTAACACTGCGAAGATAATTTCTGTCGACCAGCGTGTGAGACACAAACAATTTTCTGAGAGTGCTTTGCTGCTTCCAAGCTAACACGTTGAGTTGTTCAGTTATTTGCATCGCTTGACGCGAATGACTGACTCACTGACTGACTTGCAGTGATTTTATTATGCAAAGAATAAACCATTCAATAACAACGACGATAATGCAAAATACGGATTTATTTTCTATAATGTTACGTGATGTAATTCATGAAACGAACTAGTAGCTGGCTGGACATACGCCTGGACTGCGAATTTGATGCCGTTTGCGACCATTTCATCGCTTCATGCAATTGACGTTAGATAAAATTAGCTGCTGAAATTGATGCATCTTCGACCAAGACCCTTGCTGTACTTGGTACAATACATTACTGCTATATTACCAGTACACGACGGAGTTTATAAAATGAATTAATCATACTTGCGATGTTTCGTGAAAAGTGTAGCGCACGAATTTCCACTTAACAAATGCATATAAATGAGGTCTGATGAACTAATTATAAGTTATTTTCATCCCAGATATTACTCTTTTCATCTCTGTAAGTAAAAAATTTGCTGACTAATTTACTGGTTCAATTTTTTAATGCATAATTTTTCGATTAATGTAACTCTGCAAAATGGCAGTATCTATTCTGAACTGTACATGCTAGTTGTCAAATGCCCCTGATAATTGGAATATAATATATTCATTCCGAATTTATCGCAGAGACCGTGAATAAATACAAATGTTACAAGACACAATTACAAATAATAGGAAGCTTCAGTTCAAGTTTCCATCTCAATAGCATGGTTATACATTTTTAAAGCAGAACCATCGAAATTAATCAGGCAGCACCTCGCAATAGTTAGATGAAAGTCTCATTCCATTTCAGTTTAAAGACATTTAAGAGCTTATATCTAATGGTGTCATTCCGAAGTGATTCCAAAGTTAGAATTGCAGTTACTGTCTGTACGACAAAGGTTCTTGACTGAAAATTTGAAATGCAACTGCATCGATAACTTTCTGAGGTTGACGTCCCCTGTATTAGGAATTGTAAACATATTGTAAATTATGCCACTCCAACATCACATTAACTTTAAAAGTTGTTCCAAATATGCAATATAGCATTTCATAGTGTTTATCAGTTTTACATATTTTTCCTCTTATTTGAGATAAATTCGAAATTGCTCATTACTCTCTCCATGGGAGACAAAACGTCGTGAATAAATTAGAAGGTCCCTATTACACTTGGTAAGAGAAAGTTACAAAAATGAAAAATGAAAACATTTGATAATAAAAAAGAATGCGACAAACTTATAAGTCTTTAGTTATAGCTAACTATAACTGTTGTTTAGCTTCCAATGTTTGAATCCAGCTATATAGCATTCAGAATAAACTAAAGTATTCGAACTTTTATAAGATTTTTGTCCTAATCTTGGGTCATTCAAAAGGATGGAATCATACCATGAAAAAAAAATTATGGCAATCTTTTCGATTATATGATTAGCAAGTGAGAGCAAATTGCAGCTGGAGATATATATATATCGAAACCAAATTTTATTTTTTCTTTTGATGTATACACATCACTTCAATTCATCGAAAAATGTAAAAGATGTATAGAATTTAACAGTAACCAAAGCCTCAAAGTTCCCATCATCAACAATTAATCACAAATCATCATCAGTTATTTCGAATATTTCATGTCGCAACGGTAATTCTTTCTGAAAAAATGCAACGATAAATGAAAACTTCTCTTATATAAATTCATTTCGTTTCTATATAGTTTATCTTGGTGTGAAAGTAAAATTACTCAATGGAAAAGCAAACTCTTCTCTGAATTACTAGGAAAAACACATACCGAAATTGTGATAAAGACATCTTCAGTCAAATCAGTAACAACTGACTCCGAATGAGTCTTATGAATATTTAAACCAATTGTTTCAAGTGACTGAACACTGCCACTATCGCTCCCAGCGTCTTCTACACAATTGTTATTCGTTATAACATTTGATTCACACCCTACTTGCGGTATCGTATCATTCTTATCCGCATTCTTTTCAGACACTTTGGAAGATAATGAAACAACAGGACACACATTCTTTGAGATATCCTGCGGGGAACAAATTTTGAAAGCATTTTTCGCAGTATCACCATCATCAAACTGAAAACACAAAGACTAATTATTTTCTTACAATGAGGCATTTAAGTTCGAATGCATGCTTATTACGTTTCAAACGAGTAATAGAGAAACGAAAAGTTAACATAGTCAAAAGATTAATTTCGAAAATGAGAGCAACAAATTAGGAGCAGCGTCATTTTTCATAAGCATCCACCCCTTAATAATAGTGCAAAGCAAAAATCTTAAAGTTCTTGCAAACTTGTACACCGATAATTATCTTCTTAAAAATGAACAATAGTAAGACGACTAAAATCTCCTAAATGGAAAGAAAAAAATATTTTTTAAACACAGTGATGAAAAAAAGAATTATTTTAAACAGAATGCAGCTCACTCCTGTCAGAAATGAGCGATGTTCCTGAAGAATTTCGAAGCCAATAGATTGAAGAAGTAGAGAGAGCAAAATGGCCTAAAATATACTTTAAGTTCCATATTTTATGCCAGTGTTTTGGCATCTACATTACTACTAAGTACAAATTCCAAATAAAATATTTCTTGAAAGAAATGGAGGAGTTTCATAACAGAATAATTTATAATAAAAACTTTTAAAAGTTTAGGGCAAACAAACCTGATTGGTGCGTAAAGCAATCCACTGAAATTCTCCACTTGACATCAAATATTCAAACAAAAACATAAAGTCGCCATTATCTTGTTGAGATATTCGCCACACACGAATTCTTGTAGCTCGAAATTCAGCGCGAGAAATCTAAAAAAGACGAAAATTAACTTAGGTCTTGAATTACGATCTTTGTTTAAGAAGTTAAGCGACAAATATTAGCATCAATTGAAACGATACTCTTTTCCTCACTACAAACAAAATGAAGTTAAAATCTAGGTAATCGAAAAAAGCACAGGTAAAAGACCTTATTTTCGTCGTTTTTAAATTCCAGAAGAATATGACGCCGACCAACTTTCAGACTACATTCTGTTCTGTGCCTTGGATAATCACTTATACATGGCATCAGCACTTCATAACCATAATTTGGCTCTAAACGACACAAGCGAAGAAACTGCAAAAATAATCACATAATTGATGACATTAAATATTTTGAATATTTTTGCAGCTATACTTTGTTTTCATAGATGCTTACAATGCTATTCACAGAACAGAAATTCTGACAATATTTTATATTTTGTAGACTGACATTTCTGTCTATCCGTATAACCAAATTTCAATTTTTTGTTTTATTTAGTTAATACTGAGAAAATTAACTGAGTCAACGATGCCTTGTGAGGTCAGCATATCGTTTGTTCATGTTCTCAGTCACATGCTCTTTACAACTCGCGACCTTTTTTTCTTCTATTCAGAAGAACAACCATTTTGAAATAACTAAGGACACAGAATAATTCAATCCCAGAGAAAGTAGATTAGCGTTTCATAAAAAATCCAATATCAAAGCTTTTTTCAAGTTTGAGATAAGTTTTAAAAAGGTTTAAATCAGCTAGAGACTGTATAATAGGAATATTTCTTTGACATTATCACATCAACATAGAAAAAAGAATTAGTGATTATTCATCTATTCAACAATCCTATCTAATACCGCGGTGAACAACAAGAACAAAATAAATCAAATGACACGAATCGTGAAAATAGGGGCAAAAATGTTGCAAATATATGAAATTATTCCTTTCAAATCTAACCAGAAATACATCCATGAAAAATGTAGCGTTTTTTTTTTCTACATGACGTTGATGGAACTAAAATACATACCTGCAAGCAATTGCCTTGTTCTTCTAGAGATAATAAGCGATCCTTAATTTCTAATTGACGAGGGACGAAATGACCATTATGTAGATCACTCACGGCCTAAACATCATCTAGGCTTCATTCTTTTTGTTCTAAAAATGACTCGAAATCGCCAGTGTTTCAAAAATGGCTCTTAAATACACAGATTGTTCACCGGCAATGAAAGTTCTTGAAACACTACATACTTGTTTGTACAGCAGCAGAACAGCCCCTGGATCATCCATGAGCTCTTCCTCAACTCTTGGGTCCCAAATTAATTTTTTAATAACGATGAAATAAAAAACTCCGACTGCAGCAGATTTTTGGTTTAACAAATGAACTGACAAATAAGGAGACTCGAAATTTCGTAACAGTCGAATACCTTAAAAAATTAAAATTACGAAAAACTCGAACTGTAATTACTTGGAGAATTTAAATTATTTAAATGAACTATTCGTATAATTGCAATTAACTAAACCAAAAAAAATGCAGCCGCAAATGAACCAACTTAACCTTTCTTATTATCAAAAAATTTTTGACTTTTTTAATAAAATTATACTTGAATTTTTCATCAATGCACATCCACCAATATTAAAGCAACTGACATTACAAACTTCATGAACACGAAAAAATAACACAAGTATTCTTAAATATATTTACTGCAGTGAAACCGAACTGCTGAAAAATTCAAACACCGTACAAAGTAAATCTGGATAGCTGGTTGAAAAACTTGGCATAAAACGGCCATCATCAATTCCATATCGACGTTTTGCCACAAATAAACCAAAATTTCCTATATTTTCAACACATAAACCAATGTTGCTAGCAAAGCGCTGAAAAATTTTATGCCATGAAATGTAAATAATAGGAGAAACATGAATAATTTCAAATAGTAATAAGTAGATGAGCGATATAAAAAGTAAGAAACGATAAAGCACAGGAAAACAGATAAATAGATGAATATAAATGTAGAAAAGTGATTTATATAAAAGCATTTTTTTAAAAGGCAAACTTTTAAGACAATTTCAGTAGGATGTTCGACATTACAACGAACTGTTTCTTTTGTGCCATCAGCCATGAAAATATCAACTGAAACATTACTGGATGATGGTCGAAATGATTCCTAAAAACGACCGTTTTGTGCTGGTTATGAGAAAATCAATAAGAAAATTCATTTAAATTTACTTACAATTTGGAAATTGAGGAAAGCATTCTCTGTGATGAAATGTTGGGCAATCTGTTGAAGCTGAACGACTGAAAAAAAGAAATTTCAGTAAAGGAAAACCCCATTTATTATACTTACAACATGAATCACTGCAACTAAATACATAACACAAGAGAATTATGAAAAATTAATTTCTGTAATTTCAAACTGAAAGTAAACAATGAAATCCTGAGCACCATGCATACATACTGAGCGGCTAAACACTCTTCAGCATTGAACAAATCAAGAATTTAATGCCGGAAAATTTATATTTACACTAAAATTATCCCAAAAAGTGTGTTCATTTAAATAAGTCTAGATAACAGCCGGTCTGATTAGTTAATCAATCACTGGATAAGGAAAACAACAGATTCTCAGATTTCCACACAAAGAATACTTTCTATACAAACCTGCTTGGAAGTAGCGAGCTAGTGCAATTCTTCGCTCATTCAGAGCTTTTTCATCTAATGACCGGAATAATTTTTTCGATGGGAAGTCAGGTGTCTTCAATTTCTGCCCGAAATAGTCATGCAATTTTTCATGCAATTTTAATAAATGCGAATATCGTACGCTCGCATGGTAAGCATCATTAACATAAATATCAAATGCCTAAAGAACTTTTAAAAGGCACGAAACCAATCACGTGTTAATGATTTAGTAAAGACCGACAATGATAATTCTAATAACAAGTTCTACTGCTGAAGACAACAATAATAACGATATTATTAATAATAATAATAAAAATAATACTACTGAATATAACATAACATTATCAAGCTGGTACATTTAAACAACACACGACCGTAAGCAAATAAAAACTAACATCATACTTTTGTCTTCCATCTGCTTCTACCAATGTTTGAGTAGAGGGAATAGCGATGTGAATCATTTCTGAAATGCACTACAAAATGAGTGAACTGAAAACGAAAAAAAAAGTTAGTAAATCTAAGTATGACATTACTTGTTGACGAGACCAGCCAAATTTTCATGTACTTCACTCTCTTAGAAATTATCATCCAATTATCTAATTTTGTGACATAATAAATGAACTGCTTTGCACCGCTGCTCCTTTCACGTGTATGAAAATTTGCTCCAATTATATTTTTATTTTATATTTTGTCCTTTTTCTCTTTTCTGTCAAATGAAGCAAATTAGAATGCATACAAATAGCGAATTGCAGACATCCACACACCACACACATACTTGAATTGGAACCGCACATACCTGAATTGGAACCACACATACCCAAATTGACTAGAGGTATCAAAATAGTAATAAATAAGAAGTACTAACTTAATATAAATATACAAGTATGTAAACAAAATCATTTCAAGCTTTAAGCTCGAATTATACAAAGCATATGTTTTCACTAGTACTAAAATCTTGAATCGCAAATGATGCATAAACCTTTTCATTTTGCAACTTTCGAAAGTTATCGAAAGTTTCATTTTTGGAGGTAAGGAATGGATTTGAATAGCTATCAGATGTAGCTTCAGGTGAGAGACAAAATCATGATTTCAGAAATATGAGAAAAAGAATTTGTGATCCAAAGTTGACTGAAAAATGATTCTGTGATTCAGATTTGAGGTACAAGATGTTTTCTAGACTGAAAAAAAAATCTGTAGCAAGTTAACAGCAATATTACAGAACTTTGAAACTAAAGATGAGCGTATTTTTTCTACTTATTGGAAGAGTAATTAAAATTAACTTAAAGATGAATTCAGGTCGATAATAGCGCTACGATTAATTTGTGTTTTATTTCAGTATATTTCGATTCTGAAAAGTATATGAAAATGGTAAATGAAAACATCAAGAAATAGTATCACGTTAATTGGTTATAAAAATTATGTTTTAAACTTTTGTGTTTTTAGTTGTATAATGCAATACAACTTAATTGGAATACAAGAAACGTAAGGTAGAACTATGCGCAAAGCCAACAAAATAACTGTTTTGCGTAAAAGGAAAAACTGTATGGCAAATGGAATGACTGTATTATCTATCTTAGTATTGCTTCAATTTTCGTTTACTATTAGTCAAGGCGTAAAGAAACATCAAAGAAATACTACTACGAAGAAAGAGCGGAATTCAATTAATTAATTACATTAGCAACTTGTACTATTGAATTTAACTGTATATGTGTATGTGTATGTATATGAACTGAAAAGAAGGTCATGATCTTTCATTGTGGAAGTCTACGAATTTGGATCAGATTCTTATACTGATACTATATGTTGCTACAGAATTTAGACTTATTATTCAGTATGCAACATCAGAATTTGCTGTTTTTGTTATCTTTAAAGCTAGATGCTTGTAAAAGTGTTTTTCAGAACTCAGGATTGTACGGAAATACATCCACCTTCACATCTGAATGAATTAAATGTCTCAAGTATTTTTTATTGGTGTAAATAATTTAGTTTCTTTTGTAGAAACGTAAATCAAAGATACAACAGTTATCACTAGTTCACACTTATATCACTTAATTGTTTTAGGTTTTATTATACAAAAAAAACTAACACAAAATTTTAAAAAACAATTTTTGTGACCAGTTTGCTATGAAATTTGTGATCAGTCGACAGTGATAACATTGGAGATCACATCAATACTTAGTTTTATGCACATGTCTTTACTTCAAATTGTATGTTGTAAATTATATATGTCCTCATATAGAATTCATAAAATGCGGTTATCTGGGGTTTAGGTAGCAATGAGTTCGATTTTAGGAGTTCAAATTCGGATTCAACGCGGTATAGAATAAGGCCTATTCAAGTATTTATGTGAGTTTACCTCTTTTGTACGGCTCCAAGTTATATTTGCTAATGGTAAGTTAAAAATTTGCATGGATACTGAAAATATGCTAGACATTTAATAAATGTTCATTTCGCATTAAAAATAACTGAGAATAGAAAATTATTTTCAGAATAATACCTGAGATATATTTGATGTATCGATTTAAAACGGGAACGATTTAACGATTTTTTTAAATTTAACAGATATTGCAGTTATGAATCTATTCAATAAGGTTCTAAAATTTTTATTTGGAAATAAGAACAAGCACAAATTCTAATTTTTTCAGTGTTGGTAGCAAACGGCACCTCAAAAATTAATGAGTCCAGAAATTTCTCACCTCAGGGCTCTGGATTCAGTTTGCTAGATTCAAGTTCCATGGTAAATGTTTCATAATTTGAAAAACTTTGAAGATAAAATTCACAGAAAGCTATAAATGTTTTTTGTTCGCTTACTTTGGTGTAAAACCTTGTGATTGGAAGGGACTGAAAATCCAAACATGAAAAAAAAATTTGGGGGAATTTGAAATATTATACTTACATGAAGTGAAAATATCACTATCAAAAGAAGATGTCACTAATTATTTCTGAAATAAACGTAAAACAATTCATTGGATCTTATTGTCAGCTACTGAAATGACTCTTTCGGGTACTTTTTTCATTTCATTCATCACTAAATTTGGTTTTCAGTAGTTGATATTTATGTTAATTTATTTGAGTGAAACTAATTTTAAGAAGACATCTTAACTTAAGCAATTTGTTCTCACTACTATGCCAGAAATTCTGATTACAAATTTGTTGTGAAGAAATTACCTTCCATAATCAAAATTTTAAGCAGTAATATTACTGTATACTTTTAGAAATTGGTCTCATTAATAGAAGGCTTGCTTTCAAAGTATTATATAACATGCTTTCTGAAGATAGTAATGTTGCGAATCCATGCACTTCATGTTAGTTTCTGAAAATACCAACTTTATGATATAGAAACATCTCTTTATGTACCAAACAAATGCGCGTGATAATTCTGGAGTGAGTCATCGAATGAAATACTTCGATGAGTTGAATTGCATGTCTAAGCCATTCCGATTTGTTTTTAAATCTCGGTTATGTTTCAGACTTACTTCTAAACTAGTTACCCGATGTATGTGTGATTGAGAGATAGAAATTCATTGCAGTAATCGTAGTAAAAAGTTCATAAAGCCATAGGATTATTTCAAAGTTCTCATCATATCGTTTCTTAAATATATCCTGAGTGTGACATCCAAGTGCTAGAAAGTTTTCGTTTTGAAAGAAAAACGTACGTGATCGAAACGAGCTAAAGCTCACTTGAGGTCATGAAGTATTATCTAGTTAGCAGCTTGTAGTGGATAATTAGTGGCTATGAGCTTAGAAAAACCTGCTATAATCAGAAGCCGAAATTGGCGGCTCTTATCTCTCTACGCTTTATTATGTATGTTGCAGAGTTAAAATGTTGTTGGTAGAATTTTTTGTTTTCATTCGAAAATGGAAGAATATTTTTTTATAGTTTTTGAAGTGCTTTCTATTTTTTGTTTTATTGCCAGTATTTGAACATGCTTTCACAGAACGAATGCTGATGTTTCCAACATATATTGTAAGAAAGTGATATATTTATTTTCAACGTGCTCAAAACTTTTTTACTTATTTTTTTTATTAACTTTTTTAATTTTATATAAAAATTTTCTTGCTTTATTCCGATATTAACAAACGATATTTAAAAATTGTATTATTTATAAATGAGATCCTAAACTTCACGCCTATATTTTCTTGACATTAAAGCGTTGCAATTTAAAATTTGTTCTTTCAGATCACGAGTAATGTCACGTATAATGGTCGCTATTTTTTGTGAACTTAATTGATATTCTGAAATTTTCTTTAAATTGCTATTCATAATATAGAAATATCATAATGCATCATAAATTTAGTTTTCTGAGGACAAAACTTATGAAAATGTTTTTGTTATAATACTTTGAAAAATTACTCTCTGATAAAGGAATGATTTTTCGGTCTATAAACGAAAGGGTTGCTGTATCCTTGGTAATACGAAATCATTTTTCTTGTTATGATCATGATAGCTGACACGGTAGTCTGTGGGGCTTGTCCTTGAAACTGTGCTTTTCAGTGTCCGTGGAAGTGAACGTGCGTGTCGCGGTTGTACTTTTAATGATTCAGATGCTTTCGGGCTTGTTTCTTTTCGATTCGACCGTTTTTCATGTATTCGTGATGGAAGCAGATAAATCTCGGCACTGCAGGTATTTTTGTTACGCCAAACATATTGTGAAAAGTTTAAATTTGCTGCGAAAGTTTAGCATTCCCTTAATACCAAGTCATGGCTAAATTTAATTAGGTCTCTTTCTTTTTTAAAGTAAGAATTCTTCCAAAAGCATTGTGGATTCATTCGAGACATAGCAGCAAGTTAATCGCTGTGATCTACAAGTAATTGTTCTGCTTTCCCAACTGGTATTTTTTCACGATATGATTTGGTGGTACATGCCGATTTTTCAATTTCGAGATGGATCAGACTTATTACGTACGTTCCAATAAAAAAAAATTGGGGAATTAAACAGACTTCCTGCTTTTTTTACGGTAGATTTGAGCATGCCTCAAATGAGCAGATCGGACACCGTAATTTCTGAGAGATGCATCGCAGTATGCTAGAAGTTGTTGCATTTGTTCTAGTAGATGGTTATAAAATGGAAATTTCAGTTGAGCAATATGATAGAGAAGATACAGAAACCCGTGAAATGATAAGCCTGAAATGAAATGGTAGATCTGAAAAAGGTGAGTATATTCGTAACAAATAAAACGTCTAGAAATCTGAAATAATGTTAGAACGTTTTCATAACGTAAAAATTGTTCCGCAAAATCAGTGACTGTAATTCTGAATTGGAACTTGTTGTTAGCATTAATTTAACCATTTAAAATGATAAGTAATGATTCCATTTGTAATGATCTGATTGAAATAATTGTTTGTTAGGTATGAATATCAGTATCATCGGAATAAATCAAATCAGCAGAGCTCTTCGAGCAATACGACATCAGAAGAATAGTATTGCTCGAGCAGATCCCATCTCGTTCTAATTTTCAATTCTTTTTTTATCAAGCAAAATACGAAATGAATTAATTTTTTATATCCAAGAAAACTTTTAGAAGGAAGTTGTGATGAACAAACCAGAAACGTATGGTACGTACTGTTCTGTCGTAAAATATTTATAAATTTCCATGTATTTCAGCTCCATTTTTTCCATTGTAATGTCATTTAACAAACCACATTTCCTAAATAACCGATAAAAGTGAATTGTCAAGTTTTCCTACTTCAGATTTGATTCTTAAGGCGAATGTTTGGTCCTTTATTAATGAAGTAAACGAAATTTGCATCTATTTATTTCGCCTCATGCTCGTGCCTTGATAAATATGCTGATTTATAGAGGTTAAATCAGAAATGGCCACCTTAGTCGTCTTGATTCTAAATTTTCCTTTTTGAAAATAACTTTTTCTTTAGATTCATTTACTAAAAGCACTTATTTATTACTCGCAGGAAAATATAAGAGCTCTAAACTCAATGCAAATTAAAAATTATACAATTAGTGAATTGCTGTTTATTGTATATTTTATTCATAACGAATTCTTGCAGTAACTGCACAGCGACTAATAGAATTATGCGGAAGTAACATGTAAAGTAAGTGTCATTTTTGAATAGCTGAAAAGATAATTAGTCAGTTGGATAAGTGTATGATATTATTAACATATTTAAACAAACTGTCATTAGTATGTAAAAAGGTAGACTTACTTTAAGAAGGTCCGCGCACTCGAAATAAGCAAAACTGTTGTTTGCTTTAAATTCACAAATTGCATGAATAAATAAACAGCTTTATCCAGAAACAATAAATGCCCATTGCTTTGACCATAACGGTAAGGAAAGATCTGCAAAATTGCAAACATGCATAGCACTTTTTAATCTAAAAATCGAGATGCATTAATGAATAATAATTGTGACCAGAAGAACCTTAAAAGTAATATCGTACTTCTGTTAAGTGACATCTTCGTTTTACTTTCATTTCTTTTTGTGGTTCATGTGAATTTGAAGGCATCGAATTAACGCTGCTAAAAATAAAAACTTTAGCTTTCCGATTCCAAGTTAGCGTGAACAAAACCGCATTGAAATTGCTTACATTAGCGGCCGGGATAACTGATATGCATCATCAAGCAAATCGAGTACTAGCAAAATTGTATCTCTGACGAGTGGTATCTTGATTATCTATAACATATCACACATATGGGAGTTTTGTTTGCATCTCATAGTCAGCTCAATAGTCATATCAGTAATTAGTCTAAATGAGCAAAATGGAAAAGTAGAAAGTAATTCATTTGGCAGCTATTAAATCAGTTCATGCATTTGATCTGATCATGCATATTGCACTTTTGACCTATCGCACAATTATTTATCACTCACCAAATATGTCAAGTTCGAAAATTCATAAAAATAAATAAGATAAAAACAGTACGTGAAAATTATCACCTCATCAACAATAGAACGCACTTTTAACGGTTCAAAGGTTTCCATATTTCCATCACATTGGTTTGATAAGCAATGTTCAATTGTTAAACTAGGAGATGAATTAACTTCGAGCAATACTGGCTCCAAATTTTCCGTTATCAATATATCAAAACCCATAATCTGAGGCATCAAATAATCAGTTGAGTTTTTTTTTCTTTCGAGTTACGTGAAGCTCAAATTTACAAAAACTTGATTTGGTACTTTTTCTTCAGTCATCTATACAGCTGCTAAAAATTTTGATATTGACCTGTAAAAGAATCTCAGTTCAGAAAAATCCCGCGAAATGCAAACGTGAAAAATTGACGTTAATTATTAGCACAGAAAATGAAATTATTTTTTTAGCGCCAATTAGTGTGAATTTATTTAATTCTCAGTATAATATTGACATTTTTAAGTCAAATTTTTTCTCACGTTCTCAACATTTTCAGCGAGGATTAAAAGAGATAGTTTAAAAATTTAAAAATTAGCTTGCAACAATTTAGCCACCTGAAAGCATTGTGGACCCATTCTGTCATAGAAGTAATGCTCATAATTCAGAATAATCTCGGGCAACATTGCTATCACTGTCTTAACTATGATAATTTTAATCTTATGCCAAAGTTGCTTTGTTTTCACTCCGCGAATTGCCATTTGATATAAAACTGTGGAAAGTAATCGTTTACTGCCTAAAACTAATCAGTTTTTCATTTAATTTTGTGTGAATGAATACTTCTTCCTGTAATTCAGGTGATGTCATTCATATTTAACTTAATTAATTATTCTCTACAAATCAGTAATTATTTACATACTGCAGGAAAGAAACTTTTTGATTAAATAAAATTCTTGGATAAATCTGGTGATATGAGCTTTTCTAGAATAGATTAAATTGCTAATAGCTTGCAACTTTATCAGACTGCTACATAAAAGGTCAATTATAAATTATCTTTCATCTGGTCACGCATAGATACGCTATGAATATAAGCGTTATTTGCTTTATTCAACGAATAATTCGTTAAATGAGCATAATAGTTATCAATGTTCAGCGTTGTCGGTGCTGCATACTTTTCTGTGCAAAAACGAGCCATCCCTAAGAAATTTGATCGTTAATAACGATGAATATAAATATCTTCGCAAAAATTAGTTTTATTATACTGAAGAAAAAAAGAAACAAAAACAGTGAACATTAAATTTGAATGAACTGTTACTTAGATTAGAATCAATAATTACTTTATTATTTTTCACTAACTAACAATTTGCAGTCACATAGTGATTCAGGTTAACTGATCTAATTTTGACTAATAACTTGGTATTATTACTATTTTAGAGCTAATAATAGTGGTCAAGTATAAAAATTCAATTTCAAACCTTCACGAGCCACATAAATTGATAATGGGTTAATACTCTTTATGACGGCATACACACGTAGATCAAATTTTAAGTTGTCTTTCAGTAAGTAAGGATTAACTATGTATTCTTGTATAAGTTGACACATATTCGGTTCTCGTATTTGTTCTGGTTGTTGGATTAGGTAGATCCCACTTCCTCTGGCTCCTAGAACAAGAAAAACTACCTCATTACAGGATGAAAGTTAACTTTCGGTAATTTTGGCGCTAAATTTGTTGTAGAAAGATACTCAAAAATAAATTTAGTTATAACACTAGTAATTATTGTTTATTACTCTATAATTAATTTATGCTTTAATATGTAAAATATTCTGAAAGTAGAACGAATAAAATGGCAAAAAATTGGTAATATCAAATATTTTTGAAAACAAAAATTGAAATAAGTACTACCGTCATTGGGCTTGACAATATACCAATTATCCACGTGAAATGTTTTCCGGCTTTTGCAGTATTGCACAAATGTGTCAAGTTGTGCAGGAATGAACCAACTTGATGGGTAATACTGGTATTCGTCTGGGAACAAACGTCGCATAGAGGAAATCGCTCGAGTGAGAGAGATTTTCTTGGTCAAGTCTGACATACCTTAACAAGCATTGATTTGAATATAATAATTTTTTTAAATTATTATTAGATTGAAAATTTGACAAAAGTTTGTATTGCTCATTTTAATGTAAATTTCCAAGTATAGTCAATTTGATCAAATCTTTCTTAATCCAAAAAACAATATTTGACCTGGGAATTTATTGATTTTAGCATTTGGATCCTTGATAATTGTCCGCATATCATGATAGATTATATTAAACCAATAAATATCACAAGAACCGTCATTTCGTCCTTCTGAATACTAAAATTTTGCAATTTACCATACAAACTTCAATATCAAAATATTATTCGCGGGAAATTTTTTTTCTGCTCACAGATTTACTTCTGAAAACAGCAAATTTTTGTAATAACTTTTAGTTCATGAAAACTTTATACCTACCTCATGCATACCTAACTTTGAAGCACATATTGAAACTACTTGCTTATTACTCTTAGCCCGTGAAGTATCAATAGTGAAGTTTCGGGCAACCGTTTGAGCTTGGCTGCGATTATACAGTGATAAGAAGCTGGAATGAATGATTCACTAATGAATTATGCAAATTAGATGTTCTGAATACTTTAATTTTAATTAATTAATAAAGTTATATGAAAGTTATTTTTTCGCATACTCAATGAAATAATAAAAATTGAGAAAGTAATTAGACTTAAATAGTAAAAAGTTTTCATCCTACAACTACAGTTATAATTGAAAGTGTTGATTTTATTTCAGTTGAAAAGGAAAAAATTATGTCAAAATAAATTCAAATTGGTATCACAACTTTTAAAAATAATTCCTATAAATTAGACAAATCAATAATTTGTATTTAAGAATATTGCGCAGAATCTGTTCTGTTCATTACTTTTTATTGTGAACTGCAAGCTCAAACTCATCCATGTAATTAGCACTTCTTAATTTGCCGTTTTCTTAAATATTTTTGGCTGATATCGTTGGATGAATATTCTTTGCACACATTATCTCGTTCTTTTTGCTCATTCATTGATCTAATTTTTTAATCGCCGGATTTGTTGATCTATTGATTCATTTATTTAAAGTTTGAATTTGCAGAATACAGTTGACCTGGTATGATCCTTTTAATCGCAGTTATTACTACAATATTCAGTTTATTGTAAAGAACTAGTTTATTTTCTATAAAATAC